TTATTGTGCTTCTATCTTGTGGGCGGATATTAATTATTATTGGTTGCGTTGCTGGTGATGGCTGTCTGATTCGGACTGGCTGACCCTTACTCAACCCCCTTTTTCACCACAGTATTACCGACAGTCTACGTATCTAGGACGGTGCTCAGATTCCGAAAGCTATGGTCAAATCAGTCGTTATAGCCTCACCAAAAAACGATTAGTGCCAATGAACGTGAGATATACGACCTGACTGACTGACCCTCAACCCTTTTTTCAGCGTTACGGAAATTCTATCTGTGGCGGTAGTCAGATTTCCAAAGCATGATCAAATCAGTTTTTATGGTTTCACCTAATGGGAAGAATGAGAAAAAGTCTTAGACCAGAGATATCTGAAACAGTTTGGCTTTGAACCTGACAAGGGTGCCAGAAGAAATGCTATACTCACCATAACTTGGTAATGCAAAAAATATATTCCCGTGCAAAACGGTCGATATTTATGCTTCAGAGATGACCCAAAGGCTTTTTATAAACGTAGCCATGATAAGCTGTTTAAAATTTTCGAAAAGCAAGACTTAGGCCCCAGATGGAAAAGAACTAAGAATTATTTAGGCTACTTATTTGTATTTGCACTGCCGAGGGCGGCAAATCGCTCATGCTGGCGGATAATCTAAATGTAGGGAAATGTTTACTTGTCAAGATTTCCAGATAAACTCTACCTTCCTTTAATGGGTTATTGATTGACAGACCGTTACCTCATATGTCTGGGGGAACTGGGCTATAAGGGATCCTTATGTTGCACGTAACAGTTCCATTTTCATACAACTTTAATGTGTAGACACAGTGTGCTTTAGTCGAAACTGCGCATTTAGGTTTTTCCTTTTATTTATGTCCAATTTGCTCTTTGTGAGCATTGCGTTGTGCATCATTATATGATTGTACTGGCATTTTTGTAGTGGGCTGCATTTATTCGATGACTTTGGTTTGGGTTTTTTTAATTGGGGAGGGGTGAGACGTACGCATTTTTGGTTCCCCCAGCCTCCCTTACAACTATTTCATCGCGTAAGAAACCTCCTAAAGCCTGATTTAGTCACATATCAGGCAGGTTAGTCACCGACATATCCTTATAAAGTCCACCTTTTTTTCTTTATCGTCCGTTCACTCAAAACGCTGTTTTGCTATATACTTAAAAAACAAACAAACTCCACCATTTTCCCTCCATTGTACATGAAATTTTCACAGAATGAAGAAATGTAAAACCGTAAAATTGTATGTTGAACGTTCAATATGTGGAATATATTTTTGTAGGTGGTGTCTGGAGTTTTGATTTCTTTATTTGTTGGATACTACTTCAAGAAAAAAATAATCTTTAAACATTTTAAAATTCGTTCAGAAATGATTCAGTAGACCGTTTTGTAGAACTATTGTTTGCTAACATGCATGCAGAATGACAATCTATTTCCATTGAAAGTAAGTGACGTATTACCTGTATAAGACATGTCAACAACATCCAATATGGCCACCGTCTCCATGGCAACGAAACTTTTCTTTAGTCTTATTGCGGGGTTAACCCCCCCCCCCTCTTTTTTTACCCCCTCTTTCAAACCACCACAAGTTGTTTATCTATCACTATGAAACCGACCTATTTCCTCCATCACTTAAAAAACAACAACTCGATTTAATCAATTTTCGGTGTAAACTTATAGGGAACATGCTAGACAAATTGACTGATAAAAATCGGACAGAAATACTACCGACCTACTTGGCTGTTGACCCGTCGGTTCATTTTTCTTTCTTAACTCAGGATTGTCGCTCGGTCAGTCTTTAGATAGTGCACTTTACTTTACTTTTCCGATCCAGCGGCCATTTGGGTTCTAGCCCTTCGGTCTGATTAGATAGTGCACACAGACGTGTTTCCTTCCTTGAGTGGTATCAATTTCGTTGCGCAGTACACTTTAACATGGGAGGGTGACCATGCCAACTTGAGTAATCGTTGTTGTTACGGATTGTTGCACTCACCATGCCTGTCCCAATTCATTTATTTTGCACCATGACATATGAGCACATAGACATTTGCTGCCCACCG